CTTGTTTGTAGTTAAGCACAAAGCTACAAAACAGGCTATCTATGCCATGTCCACCAATACCCCCTGAAAAATTTCTGCAGGCTCCCATACTTGCACTTTTATAACACATCCTTAGTTGATTCCATGAACCATCCGATCCACAGCCTTGAATAGTGACCACTACTGACTGAACAAAATGTCACTTGTTAACAATTCTTTATTAAAAAACCAAATATTGTACATCAGAAGAACCTATATTGTCTAACATTTCGTAATGCATGTACACAAAAATTACAGTTTCTTAATTATTTACATATTTTATTGTACAGTTCTGAGGTTACAGGAATTATTTGTGTTTTCTTGAACTTTCTTAAATGCTGAAGATTTCACATGTTAAAGCTGCAACCCTGCAGACGTAGAAACGCCGATCCCACAGCTATATACAATATTTACAATAGGATCATTTCACCTCACCCACCAAATACACTGTTGTCAACTTCTGCACCAAACATTCTCACACAGTTTATTTTAAAAAATTATATTTAGAAGCACATATCAAAACACTTTTTAAATCAGTTTACCTTTAAGTACAAGTATAAAAATTTATACTGCAATGGATGTTCAATGGGTATCCCTAATCATCCACTCTTTAACAATTCCACTAACATCTTCAACAAACACTATAATTGTATATACAAGGTATACCCTGAATTCGAAACACATTTACACATACAAAACACATCAGTAATATAAGTGCTGGGATAGGTCAGCCAATTTAGACCTCTATCCTTGACATATATATATCACTTACTTGAATGACGATAGATATTGGAGGGTATTTCAATATATCACAAATAATTCAAAGATACTAATATTTAGTTAAAACTATCACTAAACACTACATATATCATAAAGCAAAATATCCCCCAGATTATTAGAGGATATAAAGTCAATTTTAGCTACAGCAAAATCACATGGTAGACTTACACTACCACTAAACAATATGGTTGTATGTAGAGGTACAACATTCAGTATGTTTGAAAAATACGATCCATTAAGAAAACTGACCTTTACTCACGACACATACTATATGTACACAGAAAACTTGGATCACGTTTTCAGCTCTTCACTTGCACTCCAAAAGATGCCCCACATGAAAGTAAGTGGGCCCCTATAATTGTGTGTCTCTCCCCTTGTTGGCTATTCTTAAGTTTGTCAGGCCCTTCCTTTTGGCTTCGCCCCCCCCCCCCTGTGGTTGCAAGGACATACTTACGCCACAGCTTCAGATATACCACATTCAAACAATCATACACCCACAGTCACTTCACTGATGCACTTTGTCACAAGTAACAGACACACTGTACAAGCTTCAGTGACATTAAAAGAAACAAAAAAAAAACCTTCATATTTTTAGGGGTCAGTCAAGGCTCTCGTTTATAGGTAATGATGAATTAAGTTTATTAAATGCCTAAAAGACTGCCACAGAAATGCATAGGACTTGTTAGGCAACATTATACTATCACTCAATAAGGCATGGTGGCCAGAAAGGTGGTGGGGGTAGTTGTCCCCCTCTCCCTGCACTGGTAAATAAGGGAGCAAAAAAAATCAATGGACGTTTATAAATTTTCTTAACAGATGTCAGTTGGCTTTATTTTACTATTTCATTTATTGTTATTATTTTAATATTTTATCATTAATTTTTTTTTTTGCATTTTGGTAAAGAGTAATTAAAAACAGTACATATTGAAATCAAGCCAACTGTCGCTCTGATGTTCTAATCAATACAAAGATAATAGATAGGGCAAAACAGAATTAGAAAATTGACTTTATACAGTAAAATAAACTTCTACATAGCCACACCCATACTTCTGCCAAAACAATCAACTCTGAAGGACTTTTATCACATTCTCAAAGATAAGATATTTATATGCACACACTGTAAAATCTAGGTCGACATTAGCCCACGTTGCTAGGCCTTATCACAGATTATGCACAGCACGTTTTATTGTTTTAAGTGCAGAAAGTTAAATAGTCCACCTAGTTTTAACATAAAAATGGATACTTTGCCCTCCTCCCCTGTTATTTCTAGGATTTATTGCTTTTTTTAAATTAAATTAATAGTAGATGGCATATATTTGTTATATCACCTGACACCCACAATGTGACATTGGTTATATATTTATTAAACTAAGAAAATTTTTTAATTTTTCAATGAACTTTGTGAAATAAGTAACATTTGATGTTTAATCAAGTTAATTTGAGACCTGTAGATATAGCAAAAAATGATGTAAACTGTCAGTGCTTTAGATAAGTCTTATAAACTTGTCATTACAATTTAAACATATATTTTGTTTATCTTGGAAGCAAAGTTATTTGATTTAATAGAAGAGTCCTTAAAAATTGGAACTGTTACTTTTCATCGGTTACTTACTCAAACTTTGATGAAGCTTCAAGTGTGGCAGGACTTCAAGTACTGATAAAGGAAAAAGGTGGCCAGTATGTTTAGTTTAGTACGTTTAGTTTCGCTAGAGCCATCCAGTGTATCCGTCACACCATTTGAGAATCCTAAAAGTCTTTATGTATTGTTTGGTCACAGTCAATATATCATTGCACTTTTGAGAATGCTAAAAAAATAAAACCACGGTAACACACAGACACAGCACGATGGAGTTAAAGAGGGAAACACGTCGAGTTGTTTTTAATTCATTTTGATAGCATCACTGATGTGATAGGAACAGTGAAAAAATTATTCTTTGACGTTAATCATTATTCAGAGGCTACTGGTCTTCTAATTGCAATCCAATCAAAAGAGCTCTTGGCAACAGCAGTTTTATTTAATGAATTGTTTGTTTTGACTGCCCACCTAAACCGTTACTTATAGGAACGTCACATAGAGATGGTTAAGTACCCTCAAATGATTGCAGATACAAGATTTGAGCCAAACTATAATTAGGCTTATGGATAACAAACAGTTGGACTACCTATAGCACAGACAAAAGTACACATAAGGTGAGAAGGCTGTCGATGAGCCACCAGACAATGAAAAGGAGAACTAGAAATACCAGACATTTTATACTGTTACTTGACAAAGGATTGCTTCAGTATTAACAAACCATATACTTTTTCTTTCCTTCCTGATTTGAATAACTAAGATCCAAGTTCAAAACCTCATATTTAAGCCTTTTGACAGCTTCAATTCAACTTGTTGTGCTGATGAAATGAACAATAATGATAGTGACAAACCTGAATGCAGTACTGGAGAAGAAGAGTATGGAATATTTACTGTGAACTATTCTCAGATTCCTCGGCTGTCAGCTGTTGCTGCTCTAGAACAAGCCAGATTTACACTTTTGACGTCTCGTGAAGTTTCTTTGTGTATAACAAGAGTCTGTGTTTGTGATAGTAGGTTCATCTTGAAATTTCAGGTAACTTTCATTTCCCACTCTCAGGGAAACAAAAGTTACCCACAAAATTGAGATAAATCAACTGTTACTAGTACAGGCTGTTGTCACACATACATACATACATACATCACAGATATACAGCCTAAACCTTCTATTGAGACACACACACAGTGCTGACATTTACCCTAAAATGGCATAGTTCTATGTAAGTATTGTTGCAGTGCCAGTAAGCTCTTTTGTAGCTGTGCAAAGGTTTTTAGCATTGAAGAGAATGAAGAATCACTTCAGATCTTCAAAGGCCTTCTTCAGATTGCTGTTGAGTACAATATAAGCCCTGATCTCGACAGTGACAAAATTATTTTCATTTTCGTTGAATTGTCCCATGCCTCGAGTTAACTATATTCTGGTAATTAAACAATAATTAATCTACTTTTAACAAACACATGCGTATATACATACATAATGCATGTTGTTTTAGGTTTCTTCAGAGTGAAATATGAGTTGTCAAATTAAAAAGATATTATTTTTCTTCTTTAAAATATAGCATTTTTCTTTGGGAAAGGCTGTTAAAATTTTCTTACCCCCTCTGGTGAAAAAGTTGCCACCATGCCACTGAATTTTAATAAACATGTCTTTATAAAGGTGAAACACCATCAACCCAGATCTGACAGTGTCCTCTCAACACAAGGAAAATGTTAATATCAATAATCCTGGTATGAAATTCAACCATATTGTTAAGCAAGATTTCAAATATAGTAACTGTTCCTAACGACATAAAACTTATGACCTTCTTTCAAACATACTAGAAACTCAAGATAAATAAGAAGTAATATACCACACATACACTTATATATGTTATATAGTAGTACTAACAATATCCTTATTAATTCATCCTGTTACTAGGCAACAGTCATCTATGTTATCAGTAATCCAAAGATTCAGTTGCTAAGTAACACTCACAATGTCTTCATTGACTAAAAAGATCAATTTACTAAATAGTATTATCATCATTTACTCATTGTGTGACAGTCACACTTTCATTGCTTGCTCAAACATTACATTACATCCTGTAACCAGGCAACAATCATCAATATCATCACTAACTCAAATATTACCAAGTAACAGTCACAAAATCATCCCTGACACAAACATTAATGAGCCACATTTATCATCACTGACTCAAACATTACTAAGTAATAGTTACAATATCATCACTGACTCGAACTTTACTTGACTCTACCAAGTAACAATCACCATCTAAAATCCTGTTGCTAAGTAACAATCTTGATACAAACAATTTAACTTTCGCAACACAAGTCTAATATATCTCATACAACTGAATCTAAACCTGATAAAAAAAAGAGTACACATTAAGAAAAAAAATCACATTTTTCAAACTCAAATATCAATAGATATATATATATATATATAAATGTTTACTTTCAAATAGTTAGACATTGAACATTTTTTTAGATGCACAACTTACTATTAGTGAGATCTAGGCATTACCCAACAAGCTATTCGATACGCAACAGTTTAAAGATAATATATAACTTGTTTTTCTATGAAGGCATCAATGTAAGTCACAACCATCACAAACTAAAATAAATACACAAAACTGCATGCAACCTATCAACTTCGGCACTTATTGCAAGCCGTTCAACAATACACTCGACCTCGGAGAAAAACAAAATGTTCCTACGTTAATGTCCTCATCATTCCATTATTAATGGCTATGTCATACATTCTATTACTTCTATTCATAAAAGTACATGTTTACCAACTTAATTAACATACAAACAATGTTATTTAATGAAAAAAAAATGTCAGGAAAGTTACAAGTAACTTGAACTTGTGCACTGAAACACCAAGGAACAAGATATACTTTGTATATCATCGAGTAAGGGGATATTCATATGTCTTGCATCCAACATGTATTCTTCCCCCTGCTACAGACACTATTTTATGCTATTGCAATATTCACTACATACAATAAAAACGTAGATACTTTAACATAATAGATTATGATATAATACTTACACAATAACCAAAAAAAAGAAAAAAAGATATATTTATGTTTTGTAATAACATGCAAAAAATTCACTTGGGAAGTCGGTATTGTTCACAGGAGTTGAGGAATGGTGTCTTTATCACATTGTAGAAATTTGATTCAGGAAGTATTAACCACTGCTTTTCTGTTTTACATTCTCTTGTTAGTATTGAGCTGAATAACTAATTCAAAATTACAACAACTTTTATAGTAGACAAGTTCTGATTTTAATTATTACAATATTGTGATCCAAAGTATCGGGTCATCACCATGTAAGAGTTACATTCAAATTGAAATTCAACACCGTAATCATTAAAATAAGAACTGGTCTGCTGTATTTTTTAATTAATTATCCTCTTGTTATAATTGTTGCTTTCCTTCTTGGTCTATTACACTCAGTGCCATCAATTTTCTAAAATCTAAAGCAAAGATAAAAGTGGTATTTGACTGGAATAAATACTGAACTGTATTAACAGCCATTGTTTAAGTATACAAGCGAAAACAAAAGAAGCTAAATGAATGGCACTTATTGTAATAGATCAGTTTTCAAAGAACCAGGTCACTTGTATACATACACAGAAGAAAATAATCCACAGATGTTAGCAATTCTACAGAAACTGAACTGAATAGAACGCTATTTACTGATCACTTCTTTAGTACGTTCTCCTAATATCACATCGTATTGTAGGCCTGAATGTAACCTTGACTCTGTAATACAAAAAGTCGTCGTTCCACAGCACCCTTATCTGTAAGGTAGGGAGAGAAGAAAAAAATTAAAACTGTCAATAATAATAATTTATTCTGCAACTGTTAACCACATATATAAAAATTGATAAAAAAAAAAAAAAAGACGAAACGCATTAACAGGAAAATTATTCATTTGCGACATAGAAGCACATGAAAAATAATGCAAAGGTATGGATACAAATTAATACCTGACCATCTGGTGAATTTTATCATGCAGATACCTCAGAAATAAATTAATCTAAACAGCTGTATTCCATAGAGACAGTTCTTAGTTATTCATTTACTACCAAGATAACTAGTGAGTACAGATTGAAAATTTCAAAGCAGTAGTAGTATAATTTTATTCTTTACAGTATACAAGTTATTGTTTGAAACTTACAGCTATTCAAGAGTTTCTTGTCTTCGTCATTGGGAATTTGTTGTGCTAAGCTGTGTAGGAGTACCCGTGCTTTTTGGTAACGGCAGAAACACTACATTATAAAATTATATGCAAAAGAAAAAAGCTATACATATATGATGAATTTCTTCAACAACAAAAAAATTAATGTACACAATTCAAGGTAGAAATTTTAGAATTAGGACTTTCACGTGTAATTTTCATCTTTAAAGTAACTAAATCCTTTGTGAATCACACCCATTCTTTTATCTGTCTTTGTTTGTTTTTTTTAAAGACGATACTTGAGGATTTGCATGTGAAAAAGAAGACTCAAATGTGCAATTCAACTATCGATAAAGTATTTCGAATGACACTTCTAAATAAATCAAAATCAAATGTGCAATTCAACTACAGACATAATCTCATCTGAGATAACATTAAGAACAATTTAAGGATCCAACTTCACCCACATAAATTTCATGAATTATTTAATTAAATTTCTTTATATGATTCACAAGAAATTAATTAATCTGTTGACCTTCGTGAAGACTTCACAGTTCTTACATCAAACTAGAAACACTTCACATATGATCATCATTAGAAAATAAATTACACTACCCATAAAACTGGTTGTAGTTTCACATGTGTGTGTGTGCAGAAGACTCGGGGTAAGTTTATCTTATATGGAAAATAGAGATCAGTTTGTTATGGTAATGAAAGTCAAGCATATATATATATATATATGTATACAAACGCAGCACGAAAACATAAAATATTAATCATTCATCAGAACTTGTTTGTTTGTTTTTCACACTTTTAGATAAGTTAAGGAGTTCAAGTATAAGAAAGGAAAATTTCTTTTGAATCATTTATTTATATTATTTTCATGACGAATCAGGCCTAGTAGGGAACCTATTTATACAAAAAAGTAACAGTGTCTGTAATATGAGGAATAATAAAAAGCTAACTACAACTCAACTGCATCTAAGTTTGGCACGTATCAGTTTTAACCAAGTGGGATAATTAAAAAAAAATCATTTCTAGATAATTTTATAACTTCATTTTTGTAACAATAACTTCAATACTAAGAAAATGAAAAGTACGAACCTCTTCTGGATTTCCAAACAATTCTTCTAAGGCAGCTGACTGACACTAAATATAAAAAGTGAAATCGATAAGCTAAGTTGTTTTAAGACAACAAAAATAACATCCAACATTCTAAGCATCTATTGGTCATTAGTTCATCATTCTCGCATGAAAATATAAATTTTTTTTATGTTTATTTACTTAATACTGCCCTGAAGAAACACTGTTTAGCTTGAATGTACTATTAAAAAGCATTTTAGCTCATATTCTTTCAGTTTCACCATTAACACGAAAGAAAAAACAATCACTTGTTTCTGCCCTCTAATTATAAAATACGTTACTGTTCAAGAGAAAAAGGAAATCTGATAAACTTAGTAAACATTACATATATTCACTGGACAAAACAATATAAAAAGTTGTCAGTCATTTCAACTGTATTTAAATAGTGTTGTATACATTAACTATTTTGAAAAAAACAGATATTTAGACACAAGAAATAAAGCCAAAGTTTATCACAAGATCCAGAAAATAAAGAAAACTCCCAAATAACAATACGTCTGTGATGTTACTCGAATAACAATACGTCTATGATGTTACTCGATCTTTATTTAGGTGATAATCATAATGAATTACAAAAAAAATAAAGTAAATACCATTTCAATGGCATAGTGATAGATAAGTTGATCAGCTGTAATAGTATATGTTGTGGGGTCCACTCCTGCTGCTTGCAGTGTCCCTGGACTGTTGAGGGTCTTGCACATGTTCAGACAATAGTGAAATCGCTCTTTCATGGTATGAAGGACTGGAATAAAAGTTTCTACTTTGTTATATAAAGGATTATTATTACAAAACTAAGAAATACAAAGACAAATATCCTGAAATAATTGAAGTTTCATTAATTAATACTTCATACACCTTTTTCTAAAAAAAGAACATTATTCAACAGATACAAGGTTTATACATTTATCATTTACTCCTTGTATGTAGTGTTTTTAACATGGAAAATTAAAAATATAACTTGATATTAAAATTCTCTCACTAACAATACAGAGAAATTATTTAAATATTTCTATTTCAAATTTATATAAAATAATTTTAAAATGCTTGGGGGTAATTGGATCTAAAAGCTAATCTATCACAGAAAATGTTAGTTACTGTTAATCAGTAGTTTAATTATTTATTCCAAAATTTCTCAACACACACATCAGTCGTCAAACAATTCTTTTAAATGATTATTATACAAGTTGAATATCATGAACAATGTTTTGCCCACAAACAACACCATGACTTGGTTTAAAAAAATAGATGGCATAACATACAAGAGGTTGATAAAATATCTATGAGAATTAGAATCTCTAAAGCTTAGTTCAATTGACAGTGGTATTTCCCAATAATGTAATATTAATTACGTAACATTTCGCATATAATACCTTAGATTGTTTATGATAAATTTGGCCTTACCATTTGTTACAGAGGTGGAGGAAGGCATGCAACCTGCCTGGACCTCTAGATAAGAAAGCTACAGATGATGATAAACTGGAGATTACCATTTCTTACAGAGTTAAATGGAAATATGCGACCAGCCTTAACCTTTTGATAAGAAAGCTGGAGCGATGATGATAAACTTGACCCTACCATTTCTCACATATGTAGAAAAAGACATACAACCTGTTTGGACCTTTTGATAAGAAAGCTGGAGCGATGATGATAAACTTGACCCTACCATTTCTCACATATGTAGAAAAAGACATGCAACCTGTTTGGACCTTTCGACAAGAAATGATGATATACTTGACCTTACCACTCCTTACAGAAGTAGACGTGCGATCTGTCAAGACATCTTGACGAGAAAGCTGTAAATAATGATAAACTTTACCTTACTCTTTCTTACAGAGATAGAGAGAGACACGTGACCTGCCTGGACCTCTTGACAAGAAAGTTGTAGATAATGATAAGCTTGACCTTACCACTTCTCACAGAGGTAGAAGGAGACAGGCGACCTGCCTGGACCTCTTGACGAGAAAGCTGTAGAGATGATGATAAAAGCTGCAGGGCTCTCATGAAAAGTACCAGTTGTTCGGCTCGTCTATAACCCTCAGTGAAAACTGACATCTGACCCTAGAAAAAAAAAAATTATTTGGTGTTTTTATACTCCGCAATGACGTGGCTCTAAATAAAAAATACACACTTATTGTGATATCTATAAAACTAAATTATAAACAGGAACAGTAGCATTAACAAAGTTTTAGTTTCTCAAACTCTTGCACATTACTTTCCATAAATGAAACAAATCCTAGAAAAAACTACATGTAAACTGTAGAAGCTGGAGTTTTTCAAACCTATCTGGATCAGAGAACACCTTTAAAATATCAATTGCTCGTCTGCGTATCAAATCTGACAATCTAAGTAAAAATTAATAATTCTACATATACAGTTCAAAACTTTTAACTCAAAGATATTTTAGATTTGATATTCTGTTATTTTGTACCATTCATTGAGTAATTTGCAAACAAAGCTTTTTAAATGTTCCAATTTTCATTTGTGCACAGCTCTTGCACTTATCAATTTTAAAATGTTATGCGCACATCTCAAAGCGCACAGATTTTCCTTCTCTGTTAGTGATTGTATTACTACAGCTCTTCATGCGACACCCTTTTGTGATGTCACATTATCTTGTCTGAACAACTACTAATGAAACTTAGCTTTGACTACAGCTATAGCCATTGTTTACATATGATTGGCTAGAGCAGATTATAGATCATTTACATCAGTGTAGAGAGAATGAAGTAATTTCTGATTTTTAGGAGATACTGACAACCCTGATCTCCAGTAGGAGTGAACAAAGGAACATAATGGAAAGTTTAGAACACCTAAGAATCAAATACAGCTCAGAAATTATTTAGTTTCTTTTATTTTAAAAATGGTTTTTTTATAGATATGTTTAAACTTACAGAAATCTTCAATGAAAAGACATCAGATGAGCTTAAGTGTGATAGGTGACAAAGTATTCCAAAAACTCAAAACCTTATTTATTGAATATTAATGTTAAGTTTATTGTATACAAAAATGCACACAAATAAAATAACTGGTTCTTTGCTGAAAGTAAACTATATTTATTAGATACAAATTGATTTCTACCAAGAATGTTGTTAACAAAAACCACGACACCTAGCCTGACAAAGTATTAGTGACAACACTGTTAACATTCAAGTCATAACTACTGATACACTCTTTCAGTTTTCACCTTATTTTTTTTATTATTTATGGCCAGCAGTGGTGACTATCTCAGTTTATTAGATACAAATTGATTTCTACCAAGAATGTTGTTAACAAAAACCACAACACCTAGCCTGACAAAGTATGGGTGACAACACTGTTCACATTCAGGTCATAACTACTGATCCCCCTTTCAGTTTTCACCTTATTTTTTTTTATGATTTATGGCCAGCAGTGGTGACTATCTCAATCGACAAAATAAAATGTCAAAAGAAATATTTTACTGTTTTTTTCAAAACAGTGTCTCACAAAGTGTTAGAAATGCAATATCTTATTGCATGAATTTTTTCAAGCCAACATTTTAGATACCATTTAATAAGTTGTTCTAAGGTTCATGCAATTTGGTATTTCCAATGTAAGAAGGAAAAAAAAACTGGCAGCTATCAGTCACCCCCTCTGGTTCAGAAAGTGTTAAGTAGCATTGTAGTTATGATATTTTTTCATACATTTTTATTCACAACTAATTTAATTTGTTTTTTCAGCTTAAGATGCAACTTATATAATTTTATTGTATTAGTTGCAGTAAGAATTCCTAACATTTAACTATTAAGCTAACTTTTCTCATTGTAAAACTTTAGAACTGAGCTTAAATGTTGCTATTGGGGTTTTTTTCTAAGGCAGTGAAAAAAAAGAGAAAAAAGGGTTTGGCGGGACTCGAACCTACAACTCTTCTAGCTACAATGTATGGAGTGCCTAAAGCCTTAGTAAATCCTTTATTAGTTATTCAAGTTGAAATTAGCCACAATTCTTGAGCCATGCCAGTTGACTCGTAAAGCTTACAAACATACTGCCATTCTTGTTATTTGCAGTTCAATGGATAATACAGATGTTTGGTACCTCTGAAGGGGGATAAACACAAGACTTACCTCTCTCTTCATTAGGGAATCTGTGAGAAGTGTCAAAGGGTTTCCCTTAGACTTGGCTAGATCTAGAACACATTCTACAAGTGCCAGAACAAAGTTTAACTTCGCCAGCGTCTCATTATGTTCCTTCTGTAGGAGAAATGATAAGGACATAATCTTTTATAATTTCAAATACTCGGTCAAATCCTTATGTTATTATAAAACTAGACAAACTAAATAACTTTACAGCTAAAGAATTAGTACGACAACGACAGTGCAGAAGGATTTACTTTATGTTAAAGTATTGTGAACAGTACGTTTATAGTCTTATAATAAAGAACATCATTAGGTAAACTTCATCGGTAAAATGTTAGAAGTTAACAGTGAAAAGCTGTTTTGATGCTAGTCTGAATTATGGAAAAATGCTGAGAAAAACTACTAGTAACACAATACTATTTTGTTGGTTGTTTAATTTAGCAATGTTAAATGTAAAGACCAACTAATAAAAATGCCTTCCTGTTTTGTTGCTTGTTTAAGTCAACAAATTTAAATGTAAAGATCAACTAGTAGAAGTACCTTGATGTTCTGATGCTCGACTGGATTAACTAACAGAAGGATAACGAAGTTAAACATGTTGACTGAATAACCAATACAGATATTTATAATTCTTCCTTTGCTGTGAGAACTTACAGAAAAAATTAATGAAGAACAAGGTTCACGAAATATAGCTTGGAAGCCTAAGCAGAGTTCCAACACGTTTCCCGTTTTTAAAAATAAGGCCTAATTTGTAAGGTCGAACAGTAATAAATGTTTTAGAAATATATATATACCATATTTTTATATTTTGCAGTAAAAAACTTATCTAAATGTAAGAGGTGAATCAAACAAAGATTCAAAGTTATTAAATCCACTTACAATCAACACAGTGACAGATTTTAAGCTGAAAATCAAATTTTGAAGTAAGACTCACAAGAACAAGGCAGCTACCATTCACTAAACAAGTTAATATCTCTTTCAATGCTTCCCACCATTCAGCATCTCATGCTTACCTCTGTTGTGGTCAATGACCCTAAAAGAGCACACAAAACTGTAATGGAGCAACTCTAAATATTTTCCATAGTGCCTTATATTAGCAGTATTTTTTCAACCTCGCACCCATCTTTTTAAGTATAAATAAAAGTAGCTAAGATAAAAAAAAAGCAAAACAATATTGTGATGTAGCATTTATAATAATTAAATTGGGTTTGACACAACCAATTGAATGGTGAAATGTACAGAATCAGTGTTAAAGAGGTGCAGGAGCCCCCAAAAACAGATATGGTAGAGGGTGGGGCACTGATACTCCCTCATACTTTCTCTTTTTCATTACTATGTGTAATTAGTATGTATGCAACATATTGTAATAGTTATTGTTCTTTATAATTGCTTTACAGATTTTTCTGTTATATATATTATCATTATTAACCAGCTGAATTATACTGTAAAAGGTTGGTTTGTCAAAACTTAAAGATGGTAAATTTATAAAAAAGAAAATGGAATGTTTAAGAAAGTCCTTTATTATTTTGATATTTCTTTGGTTTGCTTGTTTTTTTTTGTTTTTTTTTAATATACTTTGTTGCTTCAGGGGCCCTTAATCACCCCTTGAATCCCTCCTCGAGAAAATACTAGTTATACCCCTGTAAAGAATGAATATGAGACAAAATGATAAAGATACGATGAGAAGTGATGTTTAAAGTATTCTAAAAGTATGTTAATATTTCGAGAAAACTTTTGTTTCCTTGGAAAGTATACACTGAAATAGCTGTCATGACTTAATATGCGAACTCACGAATAGAAACTTTTCATTTACTGATCAGTTCAGGAAAACCCAGTTAAACAATCATACGCTCACACACAGCTTCTACCCTGCAGCGTTTTTTAAGGCACAAGTGGATTTCGAGAATACCATACTGCAGAGATATAAGATTATGCATGTTTTACGAGAAGCATCTCTCAACATCAGCAGAAAACTTGTGCGTTTGATTTTTTTAACAGTAAACTTGATCTGTATCTTTAAGTTTGTTTTGCTGGTGGCTTTCTACTAACTATCCAGCTTATTTGAAAGATTCGAGACGAACATACATCGTTAATACAGGTCTAGCTCTACATAAGTGTAGAGACTTCTTTGCTTCTTTTTGTTTTCTCAATTAATATATTTTTTTGCACATCAAGTGGAGAAGTAAAAGATTGAGGAGCACAGATAGGAAACATTTCTCGTATTTATTACTAACTATACAGGAACTTTGGAAATATCCAAATTTTGTTTATTTCTAAGTTTTATAATTTTCAGATGCTTATTGTTTTACAGGCCTCAAGAGAGTGGAGTTGCAAGTGTTAAAGTTCTGCAATAATAAATTTGGTGATGAACTCTGCTAATCTACCTCTAATATAGTCTCCTCTGGCAGGTCTGGGGCCATAAACACAATGGGTTCTTCAGTATTTGGTGGTGAACTTTCGTAGGAGAAACAAACTTGGCTACTAGGTGAAGAATCAAAAAACATACAACAACCAGTTGAATTCCGACGCAACTGTACGGGTGACCCAAGAGGGGTTGTCCTTTCATTTAAACAGCAGTGGTGATAAGGCATTATCATGGTTCGTGGTGGGCTATATGACACTGAAAGAAAGAGGGTAAAATATATATATTGGGTATTTCTTAAAAAATATAAGAATGCACAGTCAGTTTGAGTGTTAATTGTTTGTTTTTTTATAATGGAAAAAAACAAAGGTATTTCAAAACAGTAAAGCACCCATGTACAAATTCGTAGCACTTCACATCTTTTCAAAATGTTTTAATATCTTCTTCGCAACTTGCTAATTATGGGTAGTTTTTAACAATAGTTGAAAATCAACTGATCAAAATCTTAGGTTTTTGCTGACATCTATAATTTCATTATATAACTGTTAAAACAAATACTTGATGCGACCCTTGGTTTTGAAATCAATTACATTTACTTACTAAACTGTGCTCCAGATAGAGAGATAGTTCTATGGAAGCCCCTCTCTCCAAATTTGTTGGAGCTTCTTGACCTATGTAAACTATATTCCTGTTGGTCCATTGGCTCTGAAGATCCATATCCATTCCCTGAAAAGAAAAAAAAGAAAAATCAACCAATTTCCGAAATATAATCCATAAGAAATAGCAATTTTATTGAAATCTGTAGAGATCAATCCACAATATTTTAATATCAAGGTTTCACACCTGATGTTACAAACTTGAATTGACAGCAAGTCCGTAACAACTGCACTCAGCTGTATCTGGTAGAAATTAATTGTAATTAGAAATGTATATTTTTCTTCAATGGCTCGTTAAGGAGAAGCAGTGGAATACACTTTCATCACTGGTTGTTGTTTATGTTTTTAAACATTGTAAGACAATTTGTATCAGTGTTTGTGCCTGTTCAATAAAGAAAAATAAACTATAAATAAGGCTAAACCTAAAACATGTATCTTACTTAACAGACTCAACTTTGAATTTACTGAAGAAAATAAAAGGGTCAGTATTTTTTTTTATGTTGTTATAATAACAAAAGAATCAAGATTAAGTCTCATGACTGCAATGCTAAATTGAACAAAACCAAAACCAGACTTATATTGGAGCAACTGCTCAATAAATTATCTTAAAAAAAAGTTTATATCCAATTTTCATTTGTTGTCACATATATATATAATCCACCTTAGCTCAAGATGCACAAAATATTCCAGTTTATATAGAAAGAGCCAAAGCAAAAAACAAAACCACATAATAAATAGGAAAACTACTGGTAACTTTACAGTATGAGAACACTTCCATAAAACAACAACTATAGGTAGCACCATTGTTATTTTAATTAAAAAGAACTCCAGTAGTTTCTATGAAATTGATTTAAAAAGAAAAAAATGACACTCACCTTAAAACAATAACCTATATTTCCATTACTTAGTTAATTTTATTTATTTATTAAAAGTTGTGATGAAATATTTAATTAATAAAGATATATAAATAGACATGACAAGGTCTTACTTCGTCAAGATTAAATAACAGGTTGAACAACTGCCAAGTGTTTTATATTTTGTATTTAAAGAAGGATGATGTTTTGAGCTAGCACTCTTCGTCAGATCGTACAGATATACGTTCTGGGGAAGAGTGCTAGCTCGAAATGTCGTCTTTTTTTAAATATAGATTAAAAAAAACTTGGTGATTGTTCAACCTATCCTTCAATTTCAATACCTTTGTCACCCATATGGTTTTAACTATATATTTCTTACTTTATCAAAAGCCTGCTTCCAATGGTTTATACATATCAACTGATGATAACTCACAATAAAGTAGGCTAAAGAAAAACAACAAAAATAAAGTAGTGTAACATGTGTAAATACAGTTTTGGGGACATTTCAAACTCTTTGAACAACAGTATTTAGTACTATATCTGGACTGACAACTCAGCCTTTAATTTTAGAGGAAATCATGTAAATTCTCACTCACCAGGCCAGAAGTGTTGAGAGCAAATTTCAGGAAGAGTTATGGCTCTTGTGCTAAAAGTCACCCGTTGACTTGAATAACTATTGTTCTTGTACACATCTAACCCTTTTGATGCTGTACTAGAGAGTTCTTTCTGAAATCTCAGCGACTGTTTTGCCTTGGAGAGTTCTTTAATAGGAGACCCAAGAATTGGTGACAGTGGATTCCCTGTAGCAAGAGTGGGGAGGTTAATGGGCACGATAACATCTGTTCAGGCAAAGAGGAAGTTCTGAAAGTTAGTTATGATCCATAATATCCCAAGTAAGTAACACACCAACATTGTACGACTCTTCAAAACAAGAAGCTAGTTAGAATAAGATACAAAAATTATAATTTAATGATAAACCAATGTCATACTAAAAATGTAGTTCTGAGCATTTGGTGAGCAAAATACATCCAGTATTAAAAATTACAGTTGTTAATCGTAGATTTACTGATGGACCCTATTGATTTTAACCCTATCACGATGGGCTCAGTATAAAATACACAAGTTCGTATACACATTTGCACATGTTAAGTATGTGTGTTAATACAGTATGTGTATCTTCACAAAATTTGGTAGACTTTTAGTAAACATCACAAGTCTTTTTGTACACAAAAAAATCAGATTTTATAATGAAGTATTTTTATTAAAGATTTGTTTGTGAAAACATCGAGTCTGTTTCATTACTAGTCCAAAAATCTCAAATATTATTTGTGTATTCTCTAAAACCTCCTAAATACATTTCAAATGTTTGATTTCAGTAAAACTTTATATTCTGTCTGTTATTTTTCTCTACCTTAACTATATGGGGTCTGTCATTTTGACCAAACTTATAACTACCGTAAAAAATTAGGAAATAAATATATATATATGTGTGTGTGTGTGTGTGTGTAATGTTATGAGATTTAAACTATTTAGACTAAAAAAAGCATAATTTATATTTATTTCCTACTTTATTACGGTGGTTACAAGGTTGGTCAAATTGACAGACCACAGATAGTTACAATATATATATATATATATTTTTATTGTACTGACTTTCCAGTCATGCCTGGCTAACATTACAGTAGTTGCAATGACAAGATGCACTCATGTTACCGTATCCAAAAATATAAAATGGGCCTTTACAAAGTGACCTGTCTTGGCTGTATTTTAGTAGACTTGTATTTTGTAAAATACAGTCACATTTCAATTATTATACATTATATATCTATATACATTATTACTATTTACAAATATCTTCTTAAAATACAGAAGAGTAAATAAAGAAGTATAGCAAACACTTATCTCTTTTAGTTATGAACTTTGCACTCATTTGCTGCTTGCTATAGAATGCTAAGCCTTTTCAAATTTTGCACATGGAGGATATGAAACGAAATAAATTTTTTTAG